CCACTCCTTGCTTTCTCTTCTGCCTCATGTGGATCACTATCTTCTATTTCGCTCAAGTTAACACCTGTCTAGCCCATCCGTTACACTATCTGCCCTTTCTTGCCCTTGCTATCCCCCCTATCCTCCTCCTGCCTGGCAATCTGGAGTCTGTTCCGTTTGGTATGAAAGTCTGTGTCTCGATGGGTTTTTTCCCCCTTGGTCCTTTTTGGGATCTGCTTTTCTAAGCCCGAATTCCTTTAAGCTGTCGATATTGTTGCTATCAGTTAAATCAATGTGGAACTGTTCATTGTAGGACGCAAACCCAACTCACTGTCATCGAGTCATTTCTAACTCATAGTAACTCTACAGGGCAGGATAGAACTGTGGGTTTCTGAGACGGTAACTCTTTACAGAAGTAGACAGCCTCATCTTTCCCCTGTGGAGCAGCCGGTAGTTTTGAACTGCTGATCTTGAGGTTAGCATCCTAGTCCATTTGACAATTGTAGGAAGGGCTAGTAAAATGTTCGAAGCACATGAGATTTATGGGTTGTTTGTTGCTCTTTTTTTACCTGCTGCTAATATTTTACACTTTTATATACGTAGTATTATTTTTGCCGGAAGCCCGTGTGGCTTATACATTGGGCTGCTGAACACAAGATCCGCAGTTTAGACCTACCAGGTGCTCTCCAAGAGAAAGATGAGGCCGGCTTTGCCGAAGCAGTTCGGTTAAAATTTACTACCTTATCATTTGATCTGCTTGCTTTTCAATTGAGGTATTTCTTTGTTACTTTTTTTTTTTTTAACATTTTATTAGGGGCTCATACAACTGTTATCCCAATCCATACACACATCAATTGTGTGAAGCGCATTTGTACATCGTTTCTCAAAACATTTTCTCTCCATTTAAACCCCCGACATTAGGTCCTCATTTTCTTTGTTACTTTTTGTTGGGCTTGATTTGTATGTTTTTCTGAACTCCAGGACAAGTAAATCTATAGAGAGCGTAACTGGATTCATGGTTCCTTGGGGGTCCGGCAGGGGAGTTGGGGGAAATGGGGAGCTAATAAAGGAGTACAAGAAAGGGGGCAAGAGTTCTAAATTGATTGTGGTGATAATTATACAGCTCTTAACTGTTGAAGTCTTCTTGAACTATTGAATTGTATGAGATGTGAATTAACATGCCAGTTGAACTTGAAGAAAGAGTCGCAGCTTTGGAAAGCCTCGGGGACAGTCTGCTCGCCAGTCTATAAAGTTGCTGTGAGTTGGCAGCAGCTCATTGATTATCATTTGTAAAATTTTTGATGAACTTGTTGGTCACTAAAGACTTCCAAGTTCATTCCAGTTTTACTTTTCCTGCCCCTTTTATTAAGCCACTCAAATCACTATTTAGGTTGAGGGATAAGGAATCTGGAGTGATTTTTTTTTTGGTTTGTTTTTAAAGAAATAATATATGTATACATATAGCACAGGCAAGAAATTAAATCAACAACAATATCCTGTTACCATTTTTGTTTTCTGTTGTTTATTACTTTGGAGGGCTTAAGAGTCCATTAAATTGCTTGTCTCCAGCATACCATTTTTAAAAAGCAATATTGTTCATCTGTTTTTAAGCCTGGTCTCTTCAAGCCAGCTGATTCGATAACAGAGGGAACATAGTCTGCCTACCATCTTGTTATCTGTGTTCTCTTATTTTTATCTGTTTGAAGCAAAGCATCATTCACTCTCTGTGCAAGCTGTTCTTTGTTTATCATCTAATTGTTTTTGCATTAAGGAGATGAGAAAATGGACTCTCCGCTGCCGGGGCTGCTCTCTGGTTACTATGGAAAAGATTATCTGAGCGCATGAATTGAAATCAAACAGGTGCCTTATCAGCTTGCACTGGGCTGTGTGGGGCTAAGCTCTTAGCTAGGGGCTGCACATAATTTTGTTAAAGCAACTCCTGCCCTTAACTCAAACCTCACTGCCATCAGGTCACTTCTGATTCATAGTGACCCTAGAGGACAGTTGAACTGCCCCTGTGGATTTCTGAGACCGTACCACTCTACAGGAATAGAAAGCCTCATCTTCCTCTGTGCAACAGCTGGTGATTTCAAACTGCTGACCTTGTGGTTAGCAACCTAACTCATAGCCCATGGCACCATCAGAACCAGAAGGTGATTACTTACACAGGTCAATGCGCATTGACTGCCCTTAGCGCCATCAGTTGTCATCGACCTGTTTAAGTAATCATGTTCGGGTACTGGCTTTATTGTTATTTTTGGAAGCTTTAAGGGCCCATCCCAAACTGCTCAATAAACTCAGCTGTTTCTGCTACAGGTATTCAAGAATGCAAATATTCGTTTAAAATCTAGCCTATCCAATTCTGCTTAAAAAGTGGAAGGAAAAATAGCACTAAAAAAAGCGGAATGAAAGCAATGAGCAGTTCAATAGCGATGACTGTTCTTCCTGAAATGAGAGACAGAAATGTCCTCTTGTGGGTGTAGGCATAGGGCATTTGATCCAAAGCTTTGTGCCTTTGCTCTGATGTAGACCTGATTTACAGAGTTGATTCTGTCCCCCTATCCTATGTCATAGGAATTAGTAGCCATGCATTGCTGTGTCTAGGGGTCAAGATACTGGGCCATAGTTAGGTGACTATATGAAGAAAAGCTTCTGTAATTTCTGCCCAGTTAGTAATATTTACGTGGAAAATTTAAAAAGTGCTTTGGTGGCCCAGTGGCCAAAGCACTCCGCGGCGTTCTAAAGGGCCTGCACTTGGAGCCATTCCACCAGCCATTCTGAGGGAGAAAGATGTGGCAGTTGGCGTTTGGAAAAATCACAGCCTTGGAAACCCTGTGCGACAGCGTTGCTGTGCCTTCAAGGTCACTATGCATTGGATTAATTATGGGACCTGAAAGTAGATATACATATTCTCTCTCTCTCTCTCAGCCCCCCTCCCCCCAGCCCCTGGGGCGCCTGAGTTGGTATGGCAGGCCTGATTTTATTGTAAATTGGCTTGTGAATTTTTTTCTGATGATAAAGGGTAGGACATCTTGATTACATGCAGTTTTTCAGGTTACGTATTTTATGGTGGTGGATTTAACCTGTGTATTTGCTGCTTCAGTGAATTTCCTGTTATTTTTTCTGAATATACTCTGCTTATTATTATACGTTTACAGAAAGGGTATTGTGTTTCACATATTTCTCTTTGATCCAGATGTGTCATTTAAATTTATTTCCCTTTTTTTTTTGCCTTTGGTCGTTAGAATTGTATTTTCTTTACAGTAGCCTAATGATGAGACTTGTGCTATGATTCAGTTTTTGTTCATGTTGATGACATTGAGCATTGGGGGGCAAGTGTTTAAGAATGTGAAATCCATGTTTAACGCCTGATTTAAACTACAATGCCTCAAAGGTTGCTTCACTGTTAAGGATATCCTTACCTGTTGAGAGTTTTATTTTATCATGGGCACCCTCTGGCCCTGTTGCTGTAGTGCTATTGAACTGCTAACCTTAAGGTCATCAGTTCAAAAACACCAGCCACTCTGCTGGAGAAAGATGAAAGTTTCTACTTCCGTCTTGGAACCCACAGGGATTGTTCTACTCCATCCTATAGGCTCACTGTGAGTTGGAATCGATACCATGGCAGTGAATGAATGACTACATTTAACCATATTATGAAAATGCATCGATATCAAGTTTATGGGTTTTTAAAAAATCATGACTATGTTGAATTTAAGGAGCCCTGGTGGCATAGTGGGTTACGTCTTGGGCTGTTAACCACAAGGTCAGTAGTTTGAATCCACCACTGCTCTGGAGAAGAAAGATGAGGCTTTTTTCTCCTGAAAGATTTATAGTCTCAGAAACCCACAGAGGCAGTTCTACACTGTCCTATGGAGTCACTATAAGTTAGAACGACTTGATGGTAGTGAGTTTGTTTGGATTTATCATATATACTTGTGTATAAGCCAACTACTTGGGCCCTTGGTATCAGCTCTTCATTTTTTCCCTCCCTTCCCCTCCCTCCCTCATGAACCCTTGATAATTTAGAAATTATTATTTTTCTATGTCTTGTACTGTTTGATGTATCCCTTTACCCCCTTATCTGTTGCCCATCCCCCTGGGCGGAGATTATAGGTAGGTCATTGTGATCGGCTCCCCCTTTCACCCCCCCCACCTTACCCTTACCCTCCTGGTATGGCTACTCTCAATATTGGTCCCGAGGAGTTTATCTGTCCTGGATTCCCTGTGTGTCAACTCTTATCTGTACCCATGTACATGCTCTGGTCTATTTCAGCATATTTTAATGCAGCTTTTGTGATAAAATTAGGTGCCTCGGCTGATATTCAGGTCGGCTTGTACTCGATTATATACAGTATTCAGTTTTTGTTGAATTTTATTAGACTTTTTCCCCCCCAGTATTTGTGGAGATGGTTATATTGGTCTTCCGTTTTTGACCTGTTGGTGGATTGTGTTATACTAATTCCTAATTTTAAATCCCTCTCTAATTTATTCATTATTTACTATTTACCATGTGTTCTCTGAGTGCTTTCTATTTGCCAGGCACTGTTCTAAGTGCTGCAGAATCCTGGTTCTGCTTCTGGGCTATCTGGTCCTAGAGTCACATAGATGTCTG